AGGTTATATGAACTAAGAGTTCCCTGTTGCACATGTACCATCCATAAGGGATACTATATTGTTTTGCACTCTTTCCTCATTCTTCAGATTTATCCTAGTCTGAGCCCAGTCCCATTTTTCTTTTTTTTAAAAAAAAATAAGTCTTTTTCAGCACTGGTGTTTAAAGGCAACATTTTAAAAATGGATTATTTTTACCAACTGTGCTATCTTCACAGTTGAGTCTGAAAATTGCCAATCATTATCTAGCAGCAATGACAGATGATTAGAAACAGTCAATACTCCAAATACTTTCCCTAAGAGGCAGTTATGTGAGAACTGCACTAGCTGAAAGAACACAGGAACATTATTAACTGAAGCCAATACCAAATAAAAGCACAGAACAAACATCCTGGCTCTCTATAACCTGTCCATCATCATTTAGGGACTTGTGTGGATCATGTCACTGCAGCTGACAATGATTAACAATAGGAGACATGCAACCCCCATTAAAAGTCCAAAACTAATCACACACATCTCTATTGGGGAAAAAGTGAGACTATTATTATTATTATGCATTCTTCGTAGGTTTGCAACCTCATATGAAGAGCACCCACTGCATTTCTTTCATCTTTCAGAAAGCACCGGTATCTGTTCCAAGGACCTAACAGTACGAAAATGCATTCTGGCATCACACCTCTGAACTTCAAATTGTTTTCATTAATAAATAATTTGATTTGTAACTAGAAAGACTGAAATACGATGCAAGCACCTTGGAGTACCATTATTATTGAAACCCACTTATTGCCAGCTTTTTGAATGAGTGCTTTAAAAAAAAACTCCCTGCACTAAAAAAAAAAAAAAAACCACCACAAAACTTCTTAGTCACATGATTCTTATTTTCAAGAGTAAAAGCCTAGGAATCTTGATGCAGAATAAAGCAAAATTATCCCCCCAATTCAATGATGTTCCTCAAGTCCATATTATATCAAGCACATTCCCTGAAAATTATTACTCTTAAGAAATAAAACCTAACTTTTATTTCCAAGCCCCCAGTCACAAAATGTCGGTACCAAGTTGCTGGCTACCGATTTAACAGAAAATATGCCACAGGAAGACCCCCTCAGGGTTCTAAGTCAACTTAGTGACACTCATGTCACTTACTGAGCATTGTTTGAATTTATTCTATTTTTAATATAAAGCACTAATCACCGTATTACCTTCAACAAGTCAAAAGTTGCTTGAATGTATTATAGTATAAGTCTGACCCCATTTTGCAAATTGCTAAAGAGCAAGTCATTTTCTTGATACAATAGAAAGAAACTAAGTTTTCACTGGGATTTATGCAAAGTAAATAAAATTTCCAAGTTACAGAGCTGAAAGCCATATATATATATATGAAAAGCGGTTTCTCACGCATGCTAAGATCCAGTTCAGAGAACAAAGTTAAGCTGAATTGAAGTCTAGAGCAAGAGAGGATGCAAAGTTTAAGCCCATACTTCCCAACCAACAAAAGGAAGTACTTTTAGAACTCATTTTTCTTATGAACGTTTTCAATTATGGCATCACATCTCTACAGCTAATGGAGTAATTCAAAAAGCTATCCTGACAGTTGCAGTCATCCTACAGAATACGACGAAGTCTTACCACTGGGAAATACTTCCCAATGTGTATTCATCTGTAGGTAAGTCAATGTGCCACACCACTTTCCCCAAGTTTAGAGTACAGGTACATTTAGACAAGTCACGTTAACTTGACCTATTTACATTTGCTTCCCATCTAGGTCCAAGTTAGTAATAAAGGTATTCCCATGGAGTCCATTTTTAAATTACATCATTGCCCCAAAAATTCTAAACTTTAATTCACTTGACCTGCAAAGTAATTACCAAGATTACATATAGAAAGTAGTAATAGTGCTGACCTACAGAGACAGGTCAGTTTGCTACAATAGAGACTTAATGCTTTTTAACAGTCCATGGCAAGATGCTAAAAGCATTCTACCTCCCCAAGTATGGTTTGGTTCCCTTTTCCCCACATCGCTGATGTGTTCCATGTTATCTTCAGTTACAATTCAACTAAAGAAAACCACACAACTAAGTCAGTGAACACCAAAGAACTATTTGTGCTTTTTATTTAACAGCACTACATGTATTTCAACAGCACTGGGCTCTGCCTGACAAATTACAGCTCTAACCCCAAACCCACACAGTTTTGATTTAAACTAACTTTACAAGTGTTAGGTGCTGCACTGTAATTTCATGGTCAGAAGTGTGATGTCAGAATGCCCACGGAATAAAAGTACATAGCAAGTCACCAAGTTAGATTATATTGCTTGTTACCTACCTGTATGCAGTCGGCAATGAGAATCTTGGAGCAAGCAGGAATACTACATCCGGGTCCTAATGTCCATTGCCATTTGCGGTACTACGTTCCTCACAGTTACGCACTGCAGAAATGCTGGCTAAATGCAGTTATGTAGCAGGCCACTACTTTAATAGTGCATAATCACAGTCCAAGAACACCAAAAACATTCCGCCACAACTTAGTGGCTTGCCCAAGAGGAAAGCCAAGTATCTAAATTTTACCTGCCATATATGCCACTTATAAAAACTGCACAAGTTTAACATTACAACTTCACAAATTGTGGTTTGTTTATTTATTTATTAATGGTATAGCTAGAGTGGTGGATTTATAGCCTTCTCATGAGTTTAAGGTTCTAGGAAAGAAGATATGATTTCTCTAAACAATGTATGCCAATGGGCTACACTTATTAGTAACCAACATGCTAGGGTGTTAGGAGAATGTAGTGTTTAAAAGAGTGGGAGTAAAGAATTTAAAAATGATCAGGATTCCTCTTAAAATAAAACTAAGTGAACTGAAGAGGAAATGAGGGCAAGTGTTTTGGGTTTATTTTTTCTTTAAAAAATGAGAAAATGACTTATTTCAGAAGTACCACCTTCCCTTTCCCACCCCATGTGTCTTTTAATAGCTTTTAGAAAACTACTTTAAGATGGTTTAAATTCACATTAGGCTATAAACTATCACATACATTGCAAAACATGTTGCAATCTGAATAGCTTAGAATCCTTTGGTACCCTGCTGTTTTAGTGATGAAAGTCAACAGTTACATCTAAGCAGTATTTGCTAAACAATGTTCAGCAATTTGATTCTACAGCCCACCAAAGGGTTATCAAAAGCCACAACTTTCAGGAGATCATCCATTACCATCCTTCATCACTCTTCAAAGGTACCGTTAACTACCCAAAGCTTATTTTTAGGGGTCTGTGCCAGCATCCCTTATAAAGAAAGGCATGTAATCTGAAAAATAAACTGAAACATTAATTTTATAGGCAGATTTTCCCGTTTCCCCACCAGCCCCCACCCACACATTCAAGTTCACCCTCAGCGGGTGTCCCATGAACAGCACTTTTATTGATGAGTCCCTACTATACAGTGCATCTAAATGATAAAGGACTCCTCTCAAAAGTTTTTCTATACAGAAAAAGCTCATTATGTATCACCAATTAATAACCTTCTATTCATTGGCAGTCACGGTAAAACCACCCCATTTCCAAGTACCTGGGTGAATAGAAATGAGATTCTCTCCATTAGCCCACTATATACCTGTCCATCACAACCAGAATTTGGGGACATGCCATTATATTCCACTAATATTTTACTTCAGCATTTCTCCGTTTCCTATTCACAAAGTGCTCAACTGCTTCAGCAGTTTCCCTTTGTACTCCGGCACATTACTAACTTCAACAGTTTTTAAGTAAGGTCTTGATTTAGAATTTTACTTTTGCCAATTAGCACCAAGGACAGAGGTGAAAGGAGGAAGACAAATTTCACAGAATTCTGAAATTTACAAATTTTAATGGAAACCTACTAAGAACAAAGCCAACCATTCATTAATTTATCTACTACCAGTAAGTAATTTGCACTGACCAACAACAGTGACCCATCTAAATTATTCAATCAAAATGTCATGTGGTATTTATTCCAAAGGAGAGTCAATGACGTAGATAATAAACTGACAATCATTGAAACACTCCAAAACTTTTATGGTGGGGCAATGGGAATATTTGTACTGTGTAGCATGAGCCAACTCTTCCCAGCTTTAATGCTACATCAAATAGAAACTAAACAAAACAAAAAAACCCAGGCCAACAAATATTTTGGAGTTTGCTTGGCTCCACAGTCAACAGTCTTGGCACCAGCAGCCAGGAAATTAAAAGGTGTATTGCCATGGTAAAGTATGCCATTAGGGACCTCTCCAAAGTACTGAAGAGCAATGGTCTCTCTCTGGAGACTAAGGTGCATTTGATACAGGCCATGGTCTTTGCAATCACTTGTTATGCATCAGAGAGTTGGACAATGACCAAGGAGGATAGAAGGAGAATTGATGCCTTTGAGCTGTGGTGCGGGAGAAGAGTATTGAGAATACCATGGACTGCTAGGAAAACAAACAGATTCGTCCTGGAAAGGGTTAAACCGGGTGGCTCCTTGGAGGCAAGGATTCTGAGGCTCCGCCTAAAATACTTTGGACATGTTGTGAGGAGAGACCGGTCCTTGGAGAGGGACATCATGCTTGTGAGGGTGGAGGGACAGCGCAGAAGAAGGCCCTCTATGAGGTGGATTGATTCAGTGACTGGGATAATTGGGATGGGAATGTCAGAGACAGCGCGATTGGCACAGGACAGAGCGGAGTTTAGGGCTGTTGTACATAGGTTCGAGATGAGTCACAAGTGACTCGACGGCACATAACAACAACAACATATGCAAACCAACTTGTTATTGCCAGTCACCTTAGAGAATCAATACTACTTTTATACTCCTACAGATTTTGCCCATCTGAAGTAGCACAAGATGTGAAAGTCAGCGTACAAATGTATTGTTAACCATTGCTTTATGGTTACTAAACCATCCTTACTTTCACGTTAACTTCAGACTAAACCCATTTCTTACTTAAAAGCAATACATGAAAAGACTGTATGTTTAATCATCTTTAATTCAAATGTAAAGTTCAATACAAGCCATATGTAGGGCTTGAGATTTGTTATTCTCTTAAAACAATATAGGGGAATGCAACAGAATTATCTTTCCACTTTTTCTTCAAAAGCTTTCAAGCAAAAGGACAGCTCATGGCCAATAAAGGGCCATTTAGCCAAACCCAGTCTTCCCCTTACTAATGGTTCTGACATCCATTCTGTTATCTTAATACAATTAACTAAATCAGATTTACAGTCAGACCATTTAACCATTTAAAAATACTTAGCACCAGTTTGCTCCCTATAATGCCAAACAAATCATGAATGGCTTCAAAATGTACACTTTTGAAAACAAGCAGATAGTTATTTAAAGAAAGTAGTACTTAACCTCCAATAAATTTCCCAGAAATGGCATATGCCATTCAAAGGCCTAGACACTCTCATGCTTTCCAAGTGGAATACCTAGCCTAATGTGCACAGAAGCATTAACGGCAAGGTTGAAGATCAGTATTATAACTATTTTCTATTTATTCGAAGCACAGTAAAAAAAAAATGGTACACTTTGGAAATTCAGTGGCACAAGGTACACTGCCATAACTTGAGGGACATTATACAGTTAAAAAAAAAAATCCCCCCCAGTTTCAAACACTGCATTACATAATTTTACCTGCCTAAACAGACCATTTACAAATATTAGGTCAATAAACTGCTAACATCCATAAAAACGTAGCTTTCTTACTAAAATGCAAGAATTTAAAAGATTGGTATCTAAACAAGAAGACAAAACAAACTGGAATGAAAGCCTTGATAGCACGTCTAAAATCGGGGTTTTTTGTAAGGGCCTTCATACTCTTCTCTCCCTCTACCATATCCTGCTGGAGTTCCAGGTCCCATTCCTCTAGGACCCTGTCCACCCACAGGCCCCGCACCTCCCTGCCCAAAGCGCTCAGTACGCTATTGAAACAGTAATGTACAGTTCATTATATGTAGTTGATGTCCATGTGTGTTAAGTAAATATTTTAGAAGGTTCCGTAGTCAACGTTCGTCGAAACAATCACCAATGAGTCGATCCACAGGTACCGGGAACATAGAAAGGAAAAAAGGGTAATTTGAAAATTAGTTTACGATAATACATGCCTTGTGGTATGTTCCCACTTGAGCCATTCTCATACACCTGTTTCAAAGAACAGATCTTCCCTGTAGTGCTAAAAAATTTAAGAATTAGTACAGATGTGAAAACCCATTTCAAAATGAGTTCTAAGAAATTTCACATCAGATTAAACTCACTAAAAAGCTTGCAAACTCTCACTTTAAAGTCTGGACAAAAATTTCATTTCCAAGCCTAACCAGACAAATTCAATTCACTCAATGAAGTGACAAAGGACCTACTCACCAGTTAGTGGCATGTGCTGCATAAAAAACCTTGTGCTTTTCAAGATCTTAAGACACATATGCTAAGGTGCAGAAATCTTAAAAGGTTGGAGATTTAATTACATACTACCAAACTACAAAAAGAAAAAGCATTAAAGACTAACAGATTTAGACACTTAACCGGCACAGTAACCTGATCAAAAAACTTTGTTGCCATAGTCTGACAGGTTTACCACCTTCAGAACCACCACTATAAAGCCATAACCAATATGAACCCAAAGCACTATTCTGTAGTCTATCAGAACGACTAAAAATACAGCCCCATCCTCATGGACAGCCCAACCAACTCCCTTGGCTTTTTGAAAGCCTGCTCACATTGCTGTAATTCCATGTATTTTTGGGTTATCACTCACGTAGACTAATACCAAGTTTATGTGACTGCATTAAAGCAGTAACTTACATCAATTTTAGACTTAAGTAGAAATTTATGTTTCCTAACAGAAGCAGCCTACAAGTAATGCACAACAGCCTAAAATGTCTTTTTTCAAATTCCACTTAAAGTAGATTAGTTACTAGAAGCATTACTCCAAATGAAAGAAAAAAGGGGGGAAGGGGGAGAGATCAGGGTTTAACTGTTCCTATATGTAATGTCAAGAAAATACCACGTGGCTACTTGAAAAGAATGTTAAGTCTTAACCTTTTAATCTGTTTACAAAAATATGACTTATCAACTCTGGAGATACACTGAACACAGAACCTTAACTGTGGGAAGGTGCCAAATGAAAAGTTTTATAAATTTCTAATGCACCTACATTCTACCTTTTTTGGAAAACACATAACCTAAACTCAGGCACGATTTTATAAAATTCTATTTTAAGAGAGTTAATAGTATTACATTTAACCCAATTTATTTTAAGATTCTAACTATAATTCTCAAAAATCAAAAAGTCTTAAGTGTATTTTAATAAAGTCACATACTAAATCCTAACCTATTTTAAAAATCAGACTAGTGAGCTACGTACAAGAGGTCCCCGTCCTTTCCCCAATAGACTATAGGTAAAATAATTCACCTACAGGTGAAGTAATTATAGATGAAATAATCAGTTGTGGAAATGCACTTTAACTAGATCTCCAAATTAAAAATTCAGTCCTTATAAGGAATCATAAAATCTTCATGCAGCCAGACAATCCTGAATGATCTAAGGCATCCTCAGACTATCCATACAGATTATAGCATCACAACCTACTACTGTATTGTGTGCAGATCAAACTCACACAAATGGTATGCTTCAAATTAATGGGGGTTTTGCTATCCTGAAGCAAAACAGATGTCAGTTTATATTAAAGGTGTACCTATGGACAGAGAGGCCCAACAGCCCAACAAGTGGGAAACGACGAGTCAAAACAGTAAATGATTCCCTTTTCAGGGGATAGAAGACACACAAAGTACAGGTGAAAAGTCCTATACCATCACTAAAACATGCCTAATGCTACAAACTTCAAGTCTGAACGTACCTATAGCAAATCCAACTTTAAGAATGACAGACACGTTGCCATTTGATTTCTCTCAAATGTAGATTAAGACATTTTAGAATTTGGACTTGCCATGCACAAAGTGCATCATGGAAAGTACCTAAAGCTACTTATTGCCAAGAAAATTTCACATACTAACAAGCAATAAATGATTCTTCAATGGCAAGCATATCTGTTTAGGTTACCACACGAGTTCTAACATTGCCAAAGTATTCCCTACTAACAGGATTTACGTGAGAAGGGTACTAAGAGGTTCAGTCACCTACTTTTAAGAAAAACACACAAGTGGTGAAAATGAGAAATTTCCTTTGTACTATTGTCCCAGAAGATACATTACCATGTCACTTCCCATCATGGAACCACTCATGGTTGCCGGTGGAACTCCAGGATTGGCTTCATAACCTATGCCACCACCTCCACCTAGAGGTGGAAATTTCTGGCCTCCTGAACCATAGGGATCTAGGAAATAAAACCATCAGTTAAAAAAAAATCAGACAAGATACTGCTATTTAATAATACTAGTGCATTATTTTTCATGAATGCTTACCTCCCATGTTCATTGCTCCTCCACCACCCATTCTCATGTCTCTCTCTCTCTGGAAGAAGGGAAAAGCTCTTTTAATACAACTGGCAGTATAATTATTTTTAAAAAAGAAAATACAGGTTAAGTTGTAGCTCAAATTTTTCATTATCTTAAGTATTTTTAGACTAGAATTTGAAAAACCTGTTAATGAAACTCTAAAAGGTCTCTAAAGCCTCTTCCTAACCACTAAAATCTTTCAGCCCATCCAAGGACAGTATTAATCCAATGGCATCAATCCAATGACATCAAACAGCAGATTAACACTCAAGAGGAGGAATTATATGTGTTTTAAAAAACAACTGTAATTTGTGTTCTTGAGTGTCACTTAGCCAATTATTAACTCTGTATAAAAGAGTAAAAGTAAGCATCTTCATAGTTTCTTGGACTGTAATCTTTACAAACTTAACACTTTTGGTTAGCAACAGTTGAACACTGTGAAAGCCCAGCTCTGTTACTTACAGACTCTGTACCAAACCAGAAACTCAACTCCTTACTGGCAAATAAATTTCTGACTCTGCAGAACCACCATTGGCTATTACAGGCTGTAATCTTTGCAGGAAGGAATAAACTGCCTAGATTCTTCCATTAAGAGTGGCAGGTAACTCAACCTTTTTTTTTGTTTGTTTTGTTTTTGTTAGCAGTCCAACATATAACACACCATAGCACGACAGGTTCTTATTAAGTCTGTTAACTATTACAATTAGACAACTTACTGGATCCATGTAGCCCATTCGGCTGTAACTTTCCTCTCTTTGGCGTCTCATTTGTTCTTCCATCTCACGCTGGCGAATCATCATCTCTTCTTCTCTTCTACGTCGTTCTTCCTCTTGCCTGAAATATTCATCAATTATATAACCAAACACTATCCATGTTATTTTAAAAGCAAACATGTCCACCGAAAAACAATCCACAAAAAACCTGACTAAAGGTTTATTGAGTCCAGAGACATTCATTACTAAGAGAGGCAATCTGGCTTGAATATGTACTTCAATTTAGGTACAGAATTTTCTAATTTGATTCCTATCATAACAAAGTTTTATAACCATGGAGATTATCACCAAATGAGGGGATGTGCAGTAAATGGTCTGTCTATATGGTGATTAAAAAACCCCTCTTCAGTAATACCTAACTGGTGGGGGTAGGTGTGTTTGCGTGAAATAAACACCGTACCTCACCGTACCTCTACATTGTTATACTGCTCATTATGTTTAAATTATAAATAATATAAAATAAAAGTTTAACAAATTTTTACCTCAACTGCATTTCTTTACGTTTCTGCATTTCTTGATTATGAAGTTCTTCCATGCGTCTTAATTCTTCCTGACGTCTCATCAGATCTAAATTTTCAAAAATAATGTTTTAGAGACATGATAGGTTCTGAGTAAGTGAGTTTAAAGAAGCAAATGGTGTTATAGCACAACTTAAGAGGTTCTTTTTCACCTTGGCGCAAAAGATTTGCTTGATGCTCATGATAAGCATCTTCCATTTCACTTTCTAATTTGTCCTTTGCATCTTTCACCTTTATTTCAACTTGTTCCCTCAGTTGTTTTTCCATTTCATCCAAGGATTTCCAGCGCTGAGAATATTCATACTCAAAGGTACCATGCTGGGCAAAACGAGGTGGTGTTTCTCTCTCCCTGACAATACACGAAATTTAAACATTTACATTAGATCATGTACAGGCAGATATACCCCAAAATTCTCCCAGGTAATTTTCTGGCCTATCATCTATAGTGAATACTAGAAGACAAAGACAATTTTAAGTTCACCTAGTATTTCCAAAACCAAAGCGTCCTAGACTGTCTCAGTAGCAAGACACTAGCAACTAGTCTTAGCTCATTTTATAAATTTTGTTTTTCTCTAGCCAAATTCTTTAGCAAAGCATATTCTATTGTTCCATAAAAAATTGATTTATACATGTGAACCACAGATATGGTTTCAAAAGCTATTAATTTCATAAGCCTAGTTTTTAATAAGGGCAAATTTAAAGAAAAAAATTGTGAAACAGTAGATTTAAAGTGAAAATCTTGTCATTGTGCGCGGTCCAATCAGATCTGACTGGCACAGGAAATTGCTCCTCCTTCTCCAGCACAGTATTTGATGGATTTGACCCATGAGCCTTCAGGATTGCAGCACAGCTTCTCACACAACTAGGCTACCAGAGCTCCCTATACTGAAAGTCTTACTTTTGATACATTGGGTTCTTCTGTGCAAGTTTTTCAGGAAGACCATCTTCATCATCTAACTGTTCAAGTGGTTCCACAATGACTGGACGAGGAGTTCTAAGAACAAAAATGGATCCAATTTTAACACAACTTTCCAATAAAGATAGAATATTAACAAACAGCAATTATTAAAATAAGCACAAGAATACTTACGTCGTCAGTAAGAAAACACCTTCGCTGCATCTTTCAAATGCTTTTCTTGCAGCTGGTTTAGAAGCGAATTCTACAATTCCTTTCCCTGTGGATCTTCCACGGTCATCCACAATTACAACAGCCCTTTCAATAGGACCAAATTGGCTAAAGGCTTCTTCCAACAGTTCATTAGAAACATACGGTGAAAGATTACGAACTGAAAGTGCAGCAGCATGTGTGGAAAAGCGAACACGAAGCTGCCTGCCCCTCATGGGGGTGTCATCAAGTTCAGCTTTGGCAATTTCTGCCAATGCTCTAGACTCCTGAAAAAGAATCACACCCTCATGTTAATAACTTCAAAATTCACCATGGTCACAAACTAATTAATAGATTCTATTACTATAACTATTAACAATCCATCAGCTATTCCTAATCTTCCTCTAGTGCAGTATTTTTAATGTTTTTAATTATTAGTATGATTATTAATTTTAATGAAAATGTAGAGATTTTGGATTTCCAGTCATTTATTGTTGCATTTCCTCTAATGCAGTATTACAGCATCATTTCTCTCCCTACAACTTTCCTTAAGACCAAACAGGGTAAGCTGATTAAATGCCTTCTCTACTTATTTCTGGTTGCTTAGTTGCCGCCTAGTTGATGCCAATTCATTCCCAGCTACTGTAATTACGGCTATACATCACTTAAAATTGAATATCCATCCCATGGACGACCTCTTTGGATGATATCTTATAAGTACAACTTAAGTGCTCCTTGGCATCAAGGATGGCAAAATTTTGTTTCACTTACTTTATGCATGTTGGTATAAGCAGCCAAGTCCGAGAAAGACAAGACCATCAACAGATGAGCAATGAATGGCGCCGGGTTGGAAAGTTCCTAATCTACTGTCATAAAGTTCAGGCATTATAGTCAACTTAATGGGACCTTAACAGCATTTTTTCCTTTAACAAAGATATACAGACTAATTTATTTTTAGCCGCTTAACTGTAGACTTACTTCTTTCCATCTAGCTCTTTTGATTAATTAAGATTAAGGGTAAAAACTCGAGAGTTTAGTTTTTAAAAGCCAAGGTTTCATAATAGCCACAAAACCTTTTAAGAGAATTGACAGTCAATCACTTACAAGTTTAATAAATCCAAATCCTTTGCCTTTGTTGATAAAAACTTCTCCAGGTTCTCCGTATTTAGCAAACAGTCTTTTGAACTCCTCCTCTGTGATATCTGCAGGTAGATTGCCAACAAAAAGCCGACAGCGCTGTGTGTATGTTTTCTCTCCAGGCCGCCTCAAGAGAGACAAGTTGGCTTTAAACCCCTAGATCAAGAGGAAAGGCATTTTCAGACATCTATGATCTCTGTATCTTAAAACAACACAGCTTTTTCTTTCCGCTCAAAAGCCAATTCGACCATGTCATGCGTTTGCTCGGAGCTCTGCTGTAGGTAAGCAGCAGCCTTGCAATCGCAAAGGCCAAGGTTCGAATCCGCCAGCCGCCCGGCGGGAGAAGGATGAGCATTCACGCTCCCCCCGGGAGAAGGATGAGCATTCACGCTCCCCCCAGACGATTAACGGCTTCCGAAAAGCGGCCGAAGGGCCAGCGACAGGTCGGTTACGACTCGATGGTACACAGCAACCACGTTCACGGGCCTTCCAACACATGCAGCCGACAGCAAAGAAAATTTTAACTGTTCACAACGCTATGCAACCCAAAGCCATAAAGCCCCTTCTCCAAAGCACCGTTCCGAGTATGACATCTCTCAGTCTCATCCTACGGCTGAGCCCGCGACGAACACAAATCTCAGACCACAAAAACGACCAAACCGTGATGCAGACGACTTATCACAAAGAACTCTCGTCTTCCCGACACTACGGATCTAGCTCTGCCCCATCTCGGGTCTCACACTGGCCAAGGCCGCCGTCCACCTGCCCGCCGCCCGCTAGCGGCTCCAAGCGCCCCCGCCTCCCGGGCCCGCCCTCCGCCGACGACGCGCGCATGCGCCCTGCCCGAGCGCCCACAAAATGGCAGCCAGGTGGGGGAGGGGAGAGAGGACGGGCCGCCGCCATCTTAAAGAAACCGACACGTCGCTCCCAGAAGGGCCTCACCTCGGAATCGGAGATCTTCTCCTCGCTGCGACCACCTGGTCTGCCGGGCGGGGGCCCCTGGTGGTGCTGCTGGTGGTAGGGAATGTGGTGCTGCCGGCCTCCGCGCGGCTCGCCTCCGCCGCGGTGCGGCGGCTTGGGATGGCCGCCGGGAGTGCCGAGACCCGGGCCACCGCCGGGCTTCGGGCCGCCTGGCATCTTGCCGCCTTTGGGGCCGCCAGGCCCAGGGCCCTGCTTAGGCCCGGGCCCCGGGACGCCTGCGGGTGGGGGCGGCGGCCCGCCGCTCTGAGGAGGGGTGGTGGAGACCCCACTGCTCGGCGGAGTGGGCGGAGGCGCCCCGGGTGCGGCCGCGCTGACCACCGGCGGTGGAGTCGGGGTGGGCCCTGGTCCTGAAGAAGCCGCAGAGGTCGGAGGAGTGGCAGGAGGCGCGGAGCCCGAAGCTGGCGGAGCGCTCCCTACTGAAGCCGGGCCGGGTCCCTGAGGAATGACGGGCTTGGAAGAGTCCTGTGCCGGCGGTGGCTGATGTGGCTGTTGGTGCGGCTGCTGATGCGGCGGCGGTGGCGGCTGCTGTGGCGGAGGTTGCTGCGATGGTGCCTGCTGCTGCTGCTGCTGTTGCTGTTGCTGCTGCACTTGATGCGGAGGCGGCGGCGGGATCGGAGGCTTAGGGCCACCCTGGCCTGGACCAGGCCCCAGGGGTGCGCGGTTCTGATTGAGGCCCATGCCGGGCGGCGGGGAGCGGAAGTCGTGGAGGCCACCGCGACCGCCGCCGCCTCCGCGCCGATGAAAGCCGCCTCCGCCACCGCCACGACTCCGGAACCGATCCCGAGACATGTTTGTGATCAAGGGACGGTCGAGACAGAAGCGAAGAAGACGCTCTGGGAACGTGGAGGCCACCTTGCTCCGCACAAAATGGCGATGACACAGTCCGCACGCCGCCTTTGTCCTCGTCTTATATACTCCAGCTGACGTAGCTACGCCAGCACCAGTAACCAATAGCAAGTACGGATGCTTGTGACGTTAGGCAGCGAACCGCTAATCTCTTTGGTTGGCTCCTTGAGAGGGGCGGGACTAATGGGGAAGTGCAGCTTTCCAGTTGACCAAATGAGAGGTAAAGGAGTTGGCTGTAGGCCGCTGATTTGCTGGGAGAAATTTGAATGGGTACTGCCAGACCAATTTTCCTGTGGCCCCTGTTCCTCTCTCAGCATCTGCAGGGGTGTTGACTTCTTAAGCTCATAAAAACCGTTGTTTGAGAACCGACTCATAGCTATCCTTCTAGCTAGTTTTTAAGGGCTGTAAACTGCTTGGACCGGTCTCTCCTTACAACATGTCACAAGTATGTTAGACAGAGCCTCAGAATCCTTGCCTCCAAGGAGCCACCCGGTTTAACCCTTTCCAGGATGAGTCTGTCTGTTTTCCTAGCAGTCCATGGTACTCTCAGTACTCTTCTCCAGCACCACAGCTCAAAGACATCAATTCTCCTTCTATCCTCCTTGGTCATTGTCCAACTCTCTGATGCATAGCAAGTGATTGCAAAGACCATGGCCTGTATCAGACGCACCTTAGTCTCCAGAGAGACACCTTTGCTCCTCAGTACTTTGGAGAGGTCCCTAACAGCAGACTTTCCCATGGCAATGCGCCTTTTAATTTCCTGGCTACTAGTGCCAACAGTGTGACCGTGGAGCCAAGCAAACTAAAGTTGTGAACAATCTCAATCTCTTCACCACCCATCCTGATGCTGCCAATTGGTCCAGTGGTGAGAATCTTTGTCTTCTTGACATTGAGCCTCAATCCATATTGGAGGTTGCAGTCCTTGACCCTCTGCAGCAAGCTCTTCAGGTCCTCCTCAGTTTCAGCAAGCAGGGTTGTGTCATCTGCATAATGCAGATTGTTGATAGATCTTCCGCCAATCTTGACCCCACATTTCTCCTCATAGAGCCCAGCCTCCCGGATAATCTGTTCTGCATATAGGTTGAAAAGGTATGGAGATAAGACGCATCCCTGGCGTATGCCCTTCCTAATTTTGAACCATGCAGTGTTCCCTTGCTCTGTTCTGAAGACTGCCTCCTGGTCCAAGTATAGGTTTCTCATTAGAACAATCAAGTGTTCTGGGATTCCCATTCTTCTCAGAGTCAGCCACAGTTTGTTATGATCCACACAGTCAAATGCCTTTGCATAGTCAATGAATCACAGATAGACATTCCTCTGGTATACCCTGCTTTCAGGTAAGATCCATCTAACATCAGCTACAATATCCCTAGTAACACGACCCCTTCTAAACCCAGCCTGGACTTCTGACAGCTCTCTGCTGATGTGTGGTTCCAGTCGGTTTTGGATAATCTTCAGTAGAATCTTGCTTGCATGTGAAATCAATGAGATTGTTCTATAGTTTCCACACTCTGTTGGGTCACCTTTCTTTGGGATGGGAACAAATATAGATCTCTTCCAGTCAGTTGGCTGAGTGGTTGGTATCCAGATTTTTGGGCACAACTTGGTGAGCACATACTTTGGACATGTTGTAAGGAGAGACCAGTTCTTGGAGAAGGACATCATGCTGGGGAGGGTGGAGGGACAGCGCAGGAGAGGAAGGCCCTCTATGAGGTGGATCGATTCAGTCACTGGGTTAATCGGGATGGGAGTGTCAGAGACAGTGCGATTGGTACAGGACAGAGCAGAGTTTAGGGCTGTTGTACATAGGGTCGCTATGATTCGCAAGCGACTCGACAACACATAACAACAACAACAACAAACTGCCTGGGACGAGGTTGCTGGACTAGCTTCTGTGAAGCTGTATTCGAACCCGCAAAAGTGCCTCCTTTGGGTTAGCGGCAAATTCCTGCAGTCTACTCCTCCAGAGGCCCCTGCTAGAATAGGTGGTATTATGTGCACCAAATGGAACCGACTCATAGTTTACTCTCCAGCGGGTTTTCAGAGGTAAATCGCAAGAGAGGAAATTGTTCATCTTTTTTCCTCAGAGCAGCTGGTAGATTCAAATCATCAGAATGATGAAACCTTTGAGTTATCAGTGCAAATGGCAGTATGCCACCAGAGCTCTCTGCAAAAGATGTTAAAGAGGTCTTGGAATGGCCTGTTGCCATCGAGTCGAACATGACTCATTACGACCCTATGAATCAGCAGATATGAATCCTCCCCAACTTCACAAACTCTGACACACTTGAATCCCTTGCAGCAGTCACTATGTCAACCCACCTGACTGAGAGTCTTCTCTTTCACTGTTCCTCCGCCCTTCCGAGCATGATGTCCCTCCAAGGAATAACTTCTCCTAGCAACATGCCCAAAGTATGTGAAACAAATCTTTATAATTTTTGCCTCCAAGGAGCATTCTGCCTCCACTTTCTCCAAAACTTAACTGTTTGATGGGGTTTTTTTCTGCAGTTCATGGAATATTCAGTGCTCTTCTCCAGCACCACGGTTCAAAGGTATCAATTCTTCTGCCATCCTTGTCGTTCTTATTCTGGGGCCTAGTGGTAGGAAACTGCACTGCAGCCCCAGAGGCATCTAATTCAACTACCAGCTGTTCTGCTGGAAAATGGGCAGTCTCCTCCCTTGCTATCAGCTGCCTCTGAAAACTCGCTGAAGGGTCAGCGATGGTTCAGTTCCAACTCAGCAGGACACAACAATGGTAAGGAGTTGTGCTGCCAACCTGAAGGCACATTGTTCAAATTTACCAGCTGCTCCATGGGGAAAAAAAAATCAACTCCCAGGAGATTTCCTGCCTCTGACAACCTGCTGGAGGGTTGGTCAGCTATAGGTCATTCACAGTGAACTTTACATAAGAAGTTATAAGGAATTAAGCAGTCAACCCACCCAAAGACGAGCAATTCAACCCACCAGTTTCTTCACACAAGAGAAATAGTCTCCCATGTTCTGGTGGCCTAGTGGCAGACGTTGGCACTGCAGCTGCACTGCAATCCCTAATGTGTTCGAGGCCACCAGCTGCTCTGCGGGGGAAGGATGGACAATATCCTCCCAGGCGAATAACTCAGCTATAGGTCGGCTCCAACTCTACGGTACACAACAACAATATGATTTATTGCCTCTGAAAATCCACTGGAGGTTTAACTATGAGTCTACCCCTACTTGACAGTCCTGGGGAGCTGCTCTGCTGAATGAAAGGCATCACCTTCCTGATGATTTCAATCCATTCATTGGGAGGAAGAGGAGTAATCTCCCTTGCCCCTCACAACCTCTTAAGTACAACCGAATGGTCAGCAGTGAGTCCGTTCGATTTTGGCAATGAATTAGGTTTTCTTTGAGTGGAATTCAGAAGGCAATAAAGGAAGGAGTGAATTTCTTTGACTACAAGGATTAGCAACTAGCTGATTATCCTTGCTGTTATTATGTGCCATCTAGATGCTGTGACTCATAGTGACCCTGTGTACAAGAGTCCTAAACCCTGCTCTATCCTGTGCCAATCTCATTGTCTCCTGCACACCTACTCCCACTATCAGGAAAAAAAATATATTTCCTCATGACCAGAATAAATTTGTTATTGATACTTATTTCCACGTTACTTCATAAATAAAGCATAAATTGAGTGTTAGTTAATTCTTTACCTTGTACTGGGCTAGTGAAATTAGGAATAAAAATACTGACTTAAAGCACAAGCAAATCTTATCATTTTGGAACAGGTTTGTTGTGGTAGTATGTACTGTTCTAGCTGTTTGGGTATGATCTTCAGCAATATTTTGTTTGCATGCAATATTAATGATACTTGATATTTTCCATATTTTGTTGGATCTTCTTTCTTGAGAATGGGAACAAATAAAGATCTTTTCCAGTCACTGTCTAGGTTAATTCTCTTCTATTTACATATTGTTGTTGTCTTTATGTGTCGTTGAGTCACCTGCAACTGATAGCAACCCTATGTACAACAGACCTAAACCCTGCTCTGTCCTGTGCCAATCTTATTGTCTCTGACACACTACTACCCCCCATAACTCCAGTCACTGGATCAATCCATCTCATAGAGCATCTTCCCCTCCTGCGCTGTCCCTTCACCTTCCCAAACATGACATCCCTCTCCAAGGAACCTCCTTGAAACATGTCTAAAGTATGTTAGATAAAGCATCAGAATCCTTGCCTCCAAGGAGGAGCCTTGTTTAACCCTCGCCAGGACGAACCTGTTCATTCTCTTAGCAATCCATGGTATATTCAATACTCTTCCCCAACATACTGATTAATAATTTTAAGGGAGCTCCAGAATCCCTATTGAATCGAGCTGCTACCCCAAAGGTGGTACTTCTCTGGCAATTGAAATTCTGCTCCTCCTCAGGAGAAAGTTGGAGGAAATTGAGAAGGGAGTGCATCAGTGTTGTATTATCTCTCCATACCTATTCAATCTGTATGCTGAACCCTATGAAGAGTAGTGTGGCATCAGGATTGGAGGGAGACTCATCAATAACCTGTGTTATGCAGATGACACAACCTTGCTTTCTAAAAGTGAGGAGGACTTGAAGCACTTGTTGCAGAAGATCAAGGAATTCACCCTTCAGTATGGATTGTATCTCAATGTTAAAAAGACAACGATTATTACCACTGGACTGATAAAAGCAACATCATGATGGATGGAGAGGATATTGAAACTATCAGCTGCTTCATCTTACTTGGATCCACAATTAACACCCTTGGTACCAGCAGTCAGGAAATAAGGAGACACATTTCACTGGGGAAATCTGCAGTTAGGGACTTCTCCAAATTATTAAGGAGTAATGATGTCAGTTGAAAAACTAAGATGTGTCTGACCCAGGCCATAGTCTTTCCAAATATTAGCTATGCATCCGAGAGCTGGACAATGAATAAGGATGACAGAAAAAGAATTGATGCCTTTGAAATATGGTGTTAGAGAAGAGCACTGAACATCTCATTGACGCCCAAAAGAACAAACAGAT